AAGGCTCATGGAGACAGTACTAGCTGGTTTACATTGGAGTGTTTGTTTGATTTACCTTGACGATATTATTGTCATAGGGAAAAACTTTCATAATATGCTGGATAACTTAGATACAGTGTTTAAAAGATAAGAAGAATCAGGTCTTAAATTAAAACCTAGAAAATGTAATATTTTTGCAAAAGAAGTGGAGTTTCTTGGGCACATTGTTACGTCTGATGGTATTAAAACTGATCCACAAAAAGTAAACTGTATAACGTCATGGCCAACGCCTAAAAATGTTCATGAACTCCGTTCATTTTTAGGACTTTGTAGTTATTACAGAAAATTTATTACAGGTTATTCAGATATTGCTAAACCCTTACATAAATTAACAGAGAAGTCTCAAAAATTTGATTGGAATACAGAATGTTCTGAAGCATTTAAATGTCTGAAACAGAAATTAACAGAGGCACCTGTGCTAGCGCACCCAGACTTTTATATTGGATACCGATGGTAGCAATGTTGCTATTGGTGGATTTTTGTCACAGAAAATAGATGGACATGAACGGGTCATTGCCTATGCAAGCCGATCATTGACAAAGGCTGAACGTAAATACTGTGTCACACGTAAAGAGCTTTTAGCACTTGCATATTTCGTCAAATACTTCAAAAATTATTTGTTTGGTAAACAGTTTACAGTAAGAACCGATCATGGGTCACTTAGGTGGCTTATGCAGTTTAAAAATCCAGAAGAAACAGTTGCAAGATGGCTTGAAATACTTGCTTCATACAATATGAAAATAGAACATCGACCTGGGAATATGCATAGAAACGCTGATGCATTAAGTAGATTACCTTGTAAACAATGTGGAATAACAGGTCATCCAGTTAATGAAAGAAAATTTCAGGTTTCAGCAGCTATTTTGACACAGGATAGAGATGATAAAGATTTAGACATTTAACTTCAAGTTGCACAGAATAATGACAAAGATATTCAAACAATAATAAAATGGTTGAAAGATGGGAAATCAGATAGTGTAGATATTGGTTGTGAAAGTTACTATTTGAAATCTTTATGGGCACAAAGGCAAGGACTAAGTATACGTGAAGTGCTTTTAGTTAGAAAATGGGAAGTGATAGGTACAAACATTATTTATTGGCAGGCTATAATTCCAATTAGTTTTCGGGTTAAAGTCTTAAAATTCTCTCATGATATAAAGGCATCAGGTCATTTGGGTATCCGTAAAACACTTAGTAAGATAAGACAACGATATTACTGGCCTGGTTTACAAAATGATGTACGAAATTATGTTAGTACCTGTGAAAAATGCTTAAAACGCAAAGGCCCAATACCGAATAATAAAGCACCGATGAATGTAGTTAGGTCAGGTTTTCCAATGGAAAGAATTGCGGTAAATATACTAGGTGAGTTACCACAAACAGAACAAGGTAATAAATATATACTTGTAATTGCTGATTATTTCACGAAGTGGACCGAGGCATTTGCCATGCCAAACATGGAGGCAAAAACTGTTGCTAAAATAATGGTAGAACAGATTATAGCAAGGTTTGGAGTACCGAGTAGAATACATTCTGATCAAGGTAAGCAGTTCGAAAGTTTAGTTTTTCATGAAATGTTTGAGCTGCTGCAGATACAGAAGACCAGAACAACACCTTACCACCCGCAATCAGATGGTATGGTAGAGGTTTTTAATAAAACATTAACTAGAATGCTTAGTATGTTTGTTGACGAGAATCATAAAGACTGGGATGAGTACTTACCTTATGTGATGATGGCTTATCGAGCATCTGACAACGAAACAACAGGTATGTCTCCAAACTACCTTATGTTAGGTAGAGAAACATCTACACCGTTAGATATAGCATTTCAAGTTCCGTCAAATTTTAAATCAGTACCAATATCACATTGGGCATGGGAACTTCAAGATAGATTAGAAGTGGCACATGCTTTTGTAAGGCAACATACTGGAAATTCATTAAAAAGACAGAAAATGTTTCATGATGTTAAGCTCTCATTTAATACTTTTGAGCCTGGAGATCACGTTTTAGTTTATTTTCCAGTAAAAAGAATTGGTTGTTCTTCTAAATTCACATCTTTTTGGAAGGGACCTTTTGAAGTAAAAGATAAGATATCAGATGTTTTGTATAGAGATAATTGTGGTTATAATAAAACTTTACAAGTAATTCATGTCAATCGTATGCGAAAATTAAAAGGTCAAATTCTTCCAGAAGATACTCATTTATATCTCAAACAGGACTTTCAGAAAGTATAGAAGATACAGAGATAGAAGAAAATAATTTTGTTTCAGAAATAGAGAATAATGAAGATGATATGCAGACAAACAGATACGGAAGAAAAATTAAGAAACCATCATATTTAAATGACTATGTATTTTCTATTTCCAGAATGGCTAAGACAAAACAGACAACGAGAAAACCTTTGCCAAAGACTTTATGTCCAATATGTAAGGACCTTGTGCTTGAAGAGAAGTTTCTACAGCACATAATGTTATGTAAGAAGAACAATGATAGGTTGTGCTGTGTGACATGCAAAATGTATTTTAAGAAGGAGATTTACAGAAGCAAACATATGAAGAGAGTGGATAGCACTGAAACTACAGATAAGGAAACTCCAAGTACAAGTCAAGAGTGTTGTAAAATTGGAGACGAAGATTCTGATTGGGATAGGGATCCTGACATTGAAATATGTGAGGAAAAGACTGATAATGTCACAGATCAAAAGAAAGCGACAGAAGATTTAGAATTAATAAACATTGGAAGATTGTATAGGAAGAGAACCCTACCAAATCCGGTGATAGCACCAGTCACTAGAAAATGTCCGAAACTTGATAATGATATAGAGCAAGAAAATAAATTGGACCCGGCAGTGAAATCTTGCAGTTCCGTTGAAGATCTCCCAGACAATCCTCAGGGCATAGATAATTCAGGAAGTACAGATGATAATATCAATCATGTGGCAAAAGGGAGTGTGAATTAAATTATGATGATTCAGAAGAGGATGAGGAGCAAAGTTATGAAACTGTTACAGATATCAAGGAAGATGAAGTCAAAGAAACTGATGAACCATCACCATCATCAGTTAAAACAGTTGAAAATAGTGTCGCTCCATCCGAGGAGAAAATATTCATTGAGATAGAGAAGGAAAAGCTAGCGATAGAGAAGAAAAAGATTGACTTAGAAACAGCTAAATTTGAATTTAAGAAAAATATGTTGACAAAGCTAATTGACATTGTGTCAGACATGTAGGGACAAGAAACATGATTTAAAAGGACAGAAGTGTTATTTTTAAGTGTTCTGATGTTATTTTCAGATATTTTGTTGTGTAAGCAAGAAGCTTGATACATAATAAAAGTTTATTTGATCTGTGAAATTGAGTTTATCATGCGGGACGCATGCCTTTCGGAGGCGTGGGTAATGTAGCGAAAATCGAAAAGTTACTTCCCCTTATTAAGTACGCACCATTTGTGTTCAACAAAACAAATTGTCTTAGAAGAAAAATCTCGTAAATTGTACGGTGTAAGTTGGTTTCAAATATGTTTGATGATGTTGCATGATTTAATTACCTTTTACTTTTCATTTTGGAGTCCTTAGAACATTGCAGGTTTATTATTTAATGTAGAAAAGGTAAGATTATATTCATTTTGGCGATGGTTCCCGAGTCATGTAATTATGTACAAAAATAACGCATATTGAAAAAGTAAGCTGTATTTAATTCAATGATAGTAATATATTCAAGCGTTTGCAAGATATGGAAGACGACAGAGGGCGCAAGCAGTCCCGAGCCAATATATAAGGAAGGTGAATGTGAGAAATAGAGAGTGGGTGTTTTGACAGCGTGTTGAACAGTCGACAATCCTAAATGCTATACCTACTTTTTATATTCTTAGTTGCACAGTGCATAGCGCTGTGATAAGGCTGAGAAATATTAAGTAGAAAGAAAGCAAGGATTAAAGATTAATAAAGGAAGATTAAGAATACTTTTATTAGTAGAGATAAAGATCGAGAAAGAGGGAACGTATATATATAAATAGTATTTCAAAGGATATTAATTTAATAAATTGTTTAATAGGTATAGAAATCATTATTCGTTTTTCAATTAAAAGACAAGGTAGTCTCGAGGAAAATTATATTTATATATTTAATTCAATTTGGTAATTCATGCACATTTTTATTTAGCAATATAAATCATTGGTCTTCAATCAAATAATCATAAGGCAAAGAAGCCAGAGGAAAATGTTGTATCATACAGGTATAAGCTCGGTGCACGTTACACATGTAAAGAGTTATCTGATCTTGATATCATAACAAACAAAGGGGAAGCGGCACTCAATAACCGTCCACATGAACACTGGCTAATATTGACCTCTCAGTTTCATAGTAACCATTTTTTGAAATTTTCAAGTAATAGACAATTGGAAAACGACCAGATTATATGAATCTTACACAGGCTACCGGTACAGACCGGAATATCTAGCTCGAGGGTGACTGTTTACGGCGGTAACGAGGCTTTGCCGAGTTTCCGCTAAACAGTTACCCGAGAGCTAGATATTCCCGTCTGTACCGACAGCCGGTGTTTTTTTTCTTTTCTTGCATATTACATATCAATTGCTTTCAGAACAGAAATTCCGAAAACTGATATTCTCATTTCTTCCTTTTTTCTTATAGAAGCGTATGAACTTACAATTTCATTCATATAACGGTTAAAAGGCGTCATTCTAAAAATGCAAATCATTCAAATAGGCACGCCGAAATGCCGTCATTTAAAGCTCGTGAAAGACAATATTTTCTAGCATCGGTTTAAACAGTAGATAATCCAGACTAATATGCAAGAAAAAGCTGAGATACATTTAGTTCGGTTCTTAAAGACACTGTATCACTTGACTCCGACGAAATTCTTTATATTATTACTTTCTACAAAATACTAACTGAAAAACAAAAACAAAAAAAACATAAAAGAAGTAACAGTGTAATAATCTAACTTATGTCCAAGCTCATGTGCGACAACTGTTCCCAACGAGGGTCCGAATTCTGTTACTTCATTGATAGAATATCCTCTTTTTCCACAAACTGCGGCATGCAACAGTTGACCGCTGAAAAATGACGGGCTATACGCCATACCTTAAAGTACGAATCATAACTTTTTATAATAAAATAAATTCAAAAAAGGATAAACAGATATATTTATTTATTTAATTTTGCCTATGAAATATGGTGCTTTATCAGTCAAATATATTTCAAATTTTTTAAAAATAAATATGAAATATAAATATGAAAGTGGGCGGAGTCAAAACTCATATTTATTTTAAGGGACTTCTTTCGTCGTTTTGTTTGAAAAATCTGATAAATACAAAACAAATTTTATCGAATATCGTTTTTAAAACTATCTAGCATGATAAAAAATGGTCTAACTAAGAAAATTAATCCGAACACCAATATCTTTAAATTCAGTTATTAAGGCTGTACATACGTTTAAAGAGTTGCTTACATGACGTCGCAATGTAGCGCCAAACAGCGCGTGCTTACGCATAAATTACTGCGCGCTGTACAGTTGCAGTTGATAGCAAGCAAGGGGATTCGTTACCATTTTCTTTGAAATTGAAATTAATAAAAAGGTTGTTTTTTTGTCGTTTTTCGTGAAATATGGTATATATTTTCACTCAACATGATAAAATGCCTCATATTTTCACTCGCCGTACCGGCTCGTGAAAAAATGTAGCATTTTGTTATGTTTCGTATAAATATATACCATATTTCACGCAAACGAAAAAATATCCTGTTATTATCACACACCCGTGCCGATTTTGCGACTCCGTAAATATGGTATTGCACGGCCATGCATTTATTTTGACGTGACGTCTTAAGCGTTATACAAACATGGTTTAAAGACGCGCTAAATGTTAGCGTTATACTATAGGCGTGTCAAAGAAAAATGACTAAAGTAAATGATTTTACTTTAAACAGTCTTTATTTGGGTAAGTGATAAATAGAATATTACATTCGTGTAACATTGAAAACTGAAACAATCGGTTTCTTTATTTGGTTATATTTGTGTAAACAGGACTTGAGTAAATCAAAATAGACTAGTTGTTATAAAACAGTTTCACAGTAAATTGTGTTGAAAAACACAAAAAAAAATGATTAAATTTAATCGAAACAAATCAATATTTTACTATGTATTAGTGTGTATACCTGCCATATTATTACGAAATTGGCCATCTTCTAAAGATCCGATAACGCGCCTAAAAATAAATATAAATTAAACAAAATATCAATAAAAATTAGTATACTATGAACAAGAACTTGTTCGCTTCTTATCGAATTAGGGTTAACCAGCACAAACATGACCGCATTTGTTTCAGACAACACACATTTTAATTTTATGGTGATTTTTTACTTGAAATAATCGAAATTTAGGAAAACGGTGCATTTAAATAGTTTTAAGTCCATAAGTGTAACTGTCAGTGTTGTACTTACTAACAAAACCGCTTCTAGTAAATATATATTATCATATTTAATACAAATCTATAATTGTGACCACATGATGATTTTTCACCTGAAAACAAAATTTGTCATTCAATGGTTTACAGTATAACACATAGACCTTCATTTGCATTTGATAATATGTATTCTAACACGATCCGCATTGTTCACTATTGAACATAGAAGAACAGAGAGTGTGTGTTATTATGCAACAGGTGCACAGTTTAACATTCTATATTAAGACATGTGACGTAATCATTATACACGTGACGTAACCACTAAAAATCCGACGCGCTGAAAATAAGTTCGGAAACAAATCAGACGGAATTTTGCTTAACTATCATGTACCGCAACATTTATTTGTTAATGTCGTGTTAGAATCGAAATAATATATCCAACGAAGTGATTTTATCGCTTGATAACATCACTGTTTGTCGTTCGGATGCGCATCATTATAACACTCGGGCTATGCCCTCGTGATATAATTCCTCGCATCCGAACTCCAAACAGTGATGTTATTGAGCGATAAAATCACTGTTTGGGATATAATATTTCTTAATTAAACAGTAATGATTTATTTGATAAACAAATTCTTTTGTACAATAATGTCGCTTAATTGACATATTTTAGGATTAATCTTTGCGTTTTTGATGAAGTATATTAAAACAGAATCCATAAAGAACGTCTTAAACTACAAAACTGAAAAGCGCAAGCGCAGTTTTATTGAGCTTATTCATGGGGCGGTACTATAAAGTGCAAGCTACCGAGTACATTACTTGCACCAATATTAAGTATAATTCAGAAATAATATATCCCAATCTGATTTTATCGCTCATAATAATTCGACATCTGAGCCGTGTCATACAAAACCAACATAATGGGTTTGTGACCAGCATGGATCTAGACCAGCCCGCGCATCCGCAGTAGCAGTACCGCTATTAGTTTCTCTACTTGTTTTATGATCTGTAAGCCCTGATCAGACTGCGCGGATGCACAGGCTAGTCTTGATCCATGCTGGGCGCAAACCCATTATGTTGCTTTTGTCATGACACGGCTCATTTAACATTTAATGGTATTGAATTCGAAAAGATTTGTTCAAAATATTTGAAAAAATATTCAAAAATACTACAAGATACTGAGCATGTACAAGTCATACGTGAATTCAAAGCAAGCCCATATAAATCTATTAAACTTCAACAAGGCTTCAAATATCAGTAATTGCGGCTTTTTTTTTGTGTTTTTTTTTTTTGTTCGTTTTTGCCAACTTGTTTTTTTTTTTTTTTTTTTTTGTAATTTTATAATTTTACCATTTTGCCATCAAAATTTTGAGTGAAAATAAAGGTAGATTAACAAAAATAGATAGAGGATATTTGTTTGTTTTGCATGTAAGATTGAAATATAATTTCACTGAGTGAACACAAGATGCAATATTTTCACGAGTGGCGTAGCCACGAGTGAAAATATAATAGCTGGTGTTCACGAATGAAATATATTTCAATCTTACATGTAAAAAAATGAATATTCTTTTTATTTCATGCTTTTTAAGTGATTTTAAGTATTTTTTACTGATTTTGCCACGTAACGTCGCGCATTCTCCTTTGTGACGTCATCACATCATGGCGTCACATCATCAATTTTGAAATATAGTTCTGTTAAATTTCTCTAATTTTGTTACATTTTTAAGATGATGTATGGTGACATCGCCTTTCTTTTCCTAAAGAAGCAAAATTTACTCATGACAGCAATTATTTCTGCCTGTTATTCCATTTAGTTATGATTATTTATTTCATCCGCATTCAGCTACAGTGAAAATTATATTTTATAAATTTCACTAGTGGTTTATCACAATATAATCATCTGATATATAGAGGATATTTGTTTGTTTGTGTGTAAGATGAAATTTTATTTCATCGAGTGGGCTTTAAAAACAGTATTCTCACGAGTGGCGTAGCCACGAGTGAGAATACTGTTTTTAAAGTTCACGAGATGAAATAAAATTAAATCTTATACAACAAACAAACAATTTTTTTTTTATTTTATGCTAAAAAACAAGTTAAAATGACATTTCAATAATATTAACGTAAATATTAAAATCTGTTTTCCCCATTGAGAGCCCCATTTAGTCGGAATTTCTCATTAAAAACAAGTCTTGGGCTGTAAAATAAGTCCAACAATCAACGTTAAATGACAATGATATTATTTATTTTGTTAAAAAATATGAATGATCGCTTGTTTTAATAATAAAAACAAACAATTCTTGTAGGAGAAAAATTCCAACCATCCATCCATATTTCTGTTACTTATTGCGTATTTATATTAGACCTGGCTCCGAGCCTGCAACATTTTCAATTGTGTTGTGTTGGACCTTCTTTAGGGATTCTGTTTTTTTCTATATTATTTTGTTAAATGTAAGCGGCAGCCATTTTTTAAAGTTGTGTATTTTACGGGAGGAAAATAATTGTGTTTGATTCAGAGGGATATCATTTGGATTTGTTAGTCATACACCTTTTTAAAAGAAAGAAAACATATTTGAGGATTGAAACAGACAAAAAATAAGTGTTGACAGATGTGAAAACATGACAAAAAGCAGCTAAGAAAATGGAAAACTTGGAACTTGCTCGGAACGCTGGGTGGTTTAATTGTTCTACGAGGTGATAGCTGTCATTGCTTTTCAATTTTTCATGAAGCATACGGCAGTTATTGCTCGTAGGAAACTTTAATGTGCCCAAATGTCATCAAGAGCAGTTTGCATGTGGAAGGAATGTATTTGTCAGACTGTAAAAATGAAACAAAAAATTAAGAGATGAAATTTGGTGATTGGAATTTGAATGAATAGAAGTAAGTTTTCTTCTTTTTATTACTTTTGACATTTAAGTTGATTATCAATTTCAGCTTTACGTTTTCTTTAAACAGCCTGACATTGTCAGAATTGTTAGCAAAAATAAAATTGAGGTACCACATGGGAAAAATCTAAAAAAAGTAGTTTCGTCATTGAAAAGTGTGAAATTATATTTTGATAATTTTCACTGTGAAATTATCAAATATAATTTTCACGGATAAATCAGTAATCCACTGAAAAGCATAAAATAAATTACAATAAAACACTGGAAAGCATGAAATAATATTTTTTATCACATAAAACGCGGCGTGGGAGTGTAATAAATAGAGGATATTGAATGAGTGTAAGTTCAATACTGTATTTATTGCACGAATTGAATAATAGAGGATATTGAATGAGTGTAGTTTAATACCAAATTTATTGAACAAGTTCAATAAAATCATATTGTTTTATTCAACGAGTTCAATAAATTAAGTATCAAATCTACACGAATATAATATTCTATTGATCACATATATAAAATAAGAACAGTAAACTATTAAAGTGAGTAATTTTTCATTGACGCGCCGATAGTGTAACGCTAACATTAGCGCGCTTTAACGCTATGTTTCTATATAGCGCAAATGACGTCACGTCAAAGTGTTATTACACTAGTGTAATATCGTTTTTATTAAATGGCTTTATAACACTTCTGCGCCGCAGTTTATGTGATAAAATTATATTATGTGAGCCTCTGGCGAGCATAATATTATTCTATTCAGCGAGTGCAATAAAATCAGTAATCAACTTTCACGAATTTAATATTCTATATATCATATTCCCAAAATAAAGACCGTTTAAAGTGAAATAAGAGTCATTATTTATTGACGCACCAATAGTATAACGTTAACATTTAGCGCATCTTTACACTGTGTTTGTATAACACTCATGACGTCACGTCAAAATATATGCACGGCCGTGCAATACCATTTTTATGGAGTCGCAAGATCAGCACGGGTGTGTGATAAAGCTATTTAATAAAAACGATATTACACTAGTGTAATTACAGAGGCTCGCATAATATGATTTTATTCAACTAATTCAATAAATTTAGTATTAAACTACGCTAATTAATATCCTCTATTTATTATATACTTATTGAAGTATATGAAATAATGAACATAGAAGAACCGAAAGTGTGTGTTATTATACAATAAGATCACTTTTGATATGTGCGGAAACAAACCAGACAAGCGTTTCACAAACATAACGTAAGTTTAACGTATCTTTTTAAACTTCTTACGCAATACTTCATTTACGTTAGATGCGTTTCACTATACAGAACGTGCAACTTACGCCAGCAGTAAGTGAGCGTAAATTAACGTTTAAACCTACACAAATGCATATATATAGCTAAGAAAGTTTAGTGAAACGAAAATAAAACGTAAGTTCTGCTTACGCAAACAGTTACGTTTAAACTTGATTTCTGATAACAAAAGTGCGTTAGTGAAATGCAACCCAGGTGCAATTTAGCTTTAAATATCCCGTACGGCAGTATTATATTTGCTACGCCCTCGTGACATAATTCATCGCATCCGAACTCTACACAGTGATGTTATTGAGCGAAAAATTCACTGTTTGGGATATATTATTTCTTAAATATAAGAGGAAAAAAGAAGAAACATTCCCTTACCCTGTAAGCAATGTAGCTTGGTCATAATTAAAATGACGTATTGAAGCCTCTCCCCATTGATAGAAATAATATAGTATATTTTGAGCCAATGCTTGTCCGGCATTGTTGATATGATCTTCTACAAACTTCGAATCGCTTGGATCCTGCAGATATATGATACATTTAACGCATGATGCGTCAGAATATCCATTACAATATGAGACATGATTTTCAACAAATAGTGTTTCGCTTGATAAACGCAGATACAAGATACATTAGACACATGATTTGTGGTAATAGTCATTACAATAAAAGACATGATTTTCTACAAATATATACGGTTTCGCTTTATACCCCCAGATACATGATACATATAATATATGCTGTGTGTTAATATTCATAACAATATAAGACATGATTTTCTACAAATGGTGCATCGCGTGATACCTGCGGCTAATGATGCATGTGACACATGATTCCCGGGAATATGTATTACAATATGATACATAATTTGATATGAAAGGCACATCGCTTGATAAATGCGGATATATTATATCTCATACACAGGTTGTGCGGGAGTATCCATAACAATTCCAAATAGGAAGTAGGCAGTAGAAGTAGCAGCAGTAGGAAACGTGAAGTTAGCAGTAGCAGTAGTACAGAAGTAGCAAAATTATAAAACGTGAAACTGACAGTAGCGGTAGCACAGCAGTAGCAAAATCATAAAACGTGAAGTTGACAGTAGCAGTGGCACAGCAGTAGTTGTAGAAAAATTATAAAACGTGAAGTTAGCAGTACCAGAGGCACAGCAGTAGCAAAATAAAAAAAAGCATGAAGTTGGCAGTAGCAGGGGCACAGCAGTAGCAAAATTATAAAACGTGAAGTTGGCAGTAGCGGTAGCACAGCAGTAGCAAAATCATAAAACGTGAAGTTGATTGTAGCAGTGGCACAGCAGTAGTTGTACATTGTAGAAAAATTATAAAACGTGAAGTTGGCAGTAGCAGCAGCACAGCAGTAGCAAAATTATAAAACGTGAAGTTGGCGGTAGCAGAAGCACAGCAGTAGAAAAATTATAAAACGTGAAGTTGGCAGTAGCAGCAGCACAGCAGTAGCAAAATAGCAAAATTATAAAACGTGAAATTGGCAGTATCGGTAGCACAGCAGTAGCAAAATTATAAAACGTGAAGTTGGCAGTTACAGTGGTACAGCAGTAGCAAAATTATATTTATTTACGTGAAGTTGGCATGTGTAGTAGCAGAGCAGTAGCAGAGAGTCTGGATACTCGCAGAGTTCCAGGGTTTATTGTTGCCAATGTCTTATTGACATGTTCCCCTTCTAGGCACATCTTAGGCACTCGAAGACGTTCAGGTATTTTGGTGCCAATAGAAATAATGATTTTTTTACTTCTAGGGACATTAAAGTGTATTTTTCATTGGCCTGTGACTAAATGTTTTACACTCGCCGACATTAAGGAATTTTGGTACCAATGCAGATAATGACTATTCAGACTTCTAAGGACATGCCAGATTCTGTTACACTCACAGACTTTCAGTCATTTTGTATGGCGTTTATGACATTTTTGACTTCGAGGCACACGTTTCATTTCTTTCGTCTGCGACTGATTCTCGGACACTCTGACACACTTCACGTTTTATAATTTTGGTTTTGCTACTGCAGTGCCACTGCTATTGCCAACTTCACGTTTTATAATTTTGCTACTGCTTCTGTTGCGCTACTGCTACTTCTGTGCTTCTGCTACTGCCAATTTCACGTTCTATAATTTTGCTACTGCTAATGTCAACACTTTATAATTTTGCAATTCCACTGCTGTGCTACTGCGACTGCTGTGCTACTGCCAATTTCACCCTTTATAATTTTTCTTCTGCTGTGCTACTGCTAACTTCAAATTTTATTACTTTGTTAATGCAACTGTTGTGCTACTGCTGCGCTACTGCTACTGCTCTGCTACTGCCAATTTCACGTTTTATAATTTTGCTACTACTGTGCTACTACTACTGCCAACTTCATGTTTTATAACTTTGCTAATGCAATTGCTACTGCTGCGCTACTGCTACTGCTCTGCTACTGCCAATTTCACGTTTTATAATTTTGCTACTACTGTGCTACTGCTACTGCCAACTTCATGTTTTATAACTTTGCTAATGCAACTGTTGTGCTACTGCTGCGCTACTGCTCTGTAGGAGCACATTTGTCTCGGAGCACATTTGTCTCACGAAGTGTGACACATGTGTTCGTAAACATTTATATTTGCGACAAACTGGAAATGAGACAGATGTGTTCGACACACAATAGAAAGGGCACTCAAAGCACATTTGTCTCTCATATTTCCATAAATTTTTTAAAAGGTAATAATTATGCCCATCTGCATACCGGCTACCAGCCATTGTTCTGTGTTTTCTGTATTTATAGAACCGTTTTTAGGTCACTTCCGGTCAGTAAAAAAACTTCCTGACTCTGCATCGGAGTCATATATTGAATTTAAGAATATCCCTGTTCTGCATGTCACAATGAAAATTTCTACAAGTGCAGCATCCAGAACCTAAACACTTATGCAGCAAGTCTATTCTTACCGTTAATAATTGTGATATTTTTATTTTCAATGCTTTTTTCAAAGTTTTATAAATGATTTATGGCATTAGAAATATTCTTAGCAAAAACAAGGTAGTATCTACGGTGGCATAAAGGGGACATATAATTTTCTAATTTATTTCGTGCGCGCACGTAAGCTTAAACGTGGCCACGCGATACTATTACGTGCTCATGCGATAGCTTTTACGTGCGCTCGCGGATATGCATTCCGCATTTGGACTCTGATCGGGATCCTCGCATGAATAGTTTGACGCCCTGTGTATGTGTCGAACCTACAGCGGTTAGGGGCTAGTGGTTTTTCTTAAATCACTCGGCCACGGAGGCCCTTAAATGATCTATGGAAGAAAATAAGAAGACAATTACACACGTATTTTGTTATCATCAGAAATATATGTACAAAAAATGACCGTATTCCGGTATATACCGGGCAAGGCGCTTGAATCATAAAATGCTAAAATCTTGCCTTTTTCCCAACGGAATGAACTTAAATAGGTCTAATTCATCTTTTCACACCGTGTTATATATGATAATGAATGAACAATGTAAAAATCGGCGAAAAAAAAACGATATCTGTCTATTTTGTGATTATGATTTCTGCAAGCTTCTAGAGGTACTGCTCCAATCCTCTATTGAGTTAAATCCTAAAAAAAATCGTCATTTTCCAAGAATTGCGGCTTTCAGATCAGCCACTGAAAAAAGCACTTAAAACGTGCACGAGTTCCTAAAAAAATCCGGGTAATGCCATAATTATGGAATATCGGGCCACTCAGAATCGGGCTAATAATGCGTCATAAAAGTAGCAAAATGTAAACAAAGTAGTACTTTGCCTTCAATACAAAATTCTAAATCACTTCATCTGTACAGATGCAAAAAAAACAGCAGATGATAAAATGCTCAAGGTGCCAGTGAGTAACGTTTTTGAGCTATAAAATTATATCAAAAATAAAAAGTTTTATGATCACTAAAAGCATTTCTGATATCCCTTAGTAAGACTGCTTCGGATGAGGAATGCAAATAAAAGCATTTCTATTGGTTCGTTGTAGAACATTTTGCTTTCATATGAAATGGTTGGAAATTGAGTTGATAGTAATGAATTAACTACCGATGTAGATGGTAAATCACGAATATGCATGGCAATAAGGAAATAAATCGCGTTCGCAATCACATCATAAATATCGTACACGTATTTTATGTAACATGTCTCACTCTACCATCACTATTTATCCGAGCTTCTTTGTTACCATTGTAAATTGTTTTATATTCACCATTGTTTTTCAAGCTATGCTTTCATCAAAAATACAGTAGTTTCAAAGGGCAGTAACGCTGCACTTCCTTTTACTGTCCTTGACAACTGTATGAAGTTGTATTAATTCCAAACAGTAGTTTTCAAGTTATGATCTGGACAAGGAAAAGTAACAAAGGGCAATAACTCTGTAATTAGTCAACATGGAGTTATGGTTCTTGTGCACTGCACTTCCTCTCAATGTGCTTGACCATTGTATGAAGTTATATTGAATTCCAACAATAAGTCTTCAGGTTATGGTCCGGACAAAAAAAGCAATGGAAAAGTAACAAAGGGCAATAACTCTGTAATTACTTTAGATAGAGTTATGGTTCTTGTGTGCTGCACTTCCCCTTATTGTGTTTGACATTTGTATGAAGTTGTTTTGAATTCCAACCAGTAGTTTTCAAGTTATGCCCCGGACAAGGAAAAGTAACAAAGGGCAATAACTCTGTAATTAGTCAAGACAGAGTTATGGTTCTTATGCACTGCACTTCCTCTCAATGTGCTTGACCATTGTATTTAGTTATATTAAATTCCAACCATTAGTCTTCAAGTAATGCTCCAGACAAAAAAAAATCAATGGAAAAGTAACAAAGGGCAATAACTCTGTAATTACTTTAGATAGAGTTATGGTTCTTGTGCACTGCACTTCCTCTTATTGTGTTTGACAATTGTATGAAGTTGTTTTGAATTCCAACCAGTAGTTTTCAAGTTATGCCCCGGACAAGGAAAAGTAACAAAGGGCAATAACTCTGTAATTAGTCAAGATAGAGTTATGGTTCTTGTGCACTGCACTTCCTCTCAACGTGCTTGACCATTGTTTGTAGTTATATTGAATTCCAACCATTAGTCTTCAAGTTATGCTCCGGACGTCTGGACCGACCGACCGACCGACCGCCCGACCAACCGACCGACCGACCACCGGGTGACTCCTATATACCCCCCCAAACTTCGTTTTTGGGGGTATAATAAAAAGCTTTTGATGAATGCAAATAAAAGCATTTCTCAGGCATAATTGGCCTTTGAGTGATTTTTATGTAGACTATCAAGGGAATTCTACTTAGCGGTATATGACCTGGAATCAATTTCTTGCCTGGCGTCGACAAACGAAACGCGAAGCGAGACGCGAGATTTCGGCGAGATGCGAAACGTCAGATATTGTATCATTAAATATCAACCTATTACGGTGTTCCGTTTAGACATAAGAAACATTTTTGTCTTCCTGAACAGCTATGCACAATGGTACAAAGGTGAAATTGAGATTGTACGATAGTACGATGGTTAAAACACGATGGCACGATGGTGAAATCACGATGATGCGATGACACGATAGGGAAAATAATATCGCGTTTTCAGCATCATGCCATCGAAGTTTTATCATATCATACCATCGTATTTTTCTATCGTAACATCGTCTTTCACCATACTACCATCACGTATTAATCATCGAGCCTTCTTTGTTTACCATCGTACAATCGTTGTTTCATATTCGTACCATTGTCTTTTCAGCATCGCGTTTTCATCAAAAACGTACCATCGTGCCATCGCGTTGTCACCATAGAACCATCGTGAACGGGATTTAGTATGTTTCAGTGTACGCCTTCAGGTTAAGCCAATCAATTTCCTAAATTAGAGATATTTACTCTAGCTTTTCATAAAGAAAGCATAAGGTATCCTATTCATGATTACACTTGACATGAGGTAACTTCGATTCTAAAAAAAGAATTTCTTCCGCAGGGAAATAATTATGTGACAAATTATTCATAAAAATGACATGATACAAATGTGCTTTCTTGTCCCTTAAAAACACATATGACAAATGTGATTTCTTGTCCCTTAAAACACATAAGACAAATGTATGTGCTTTCTTGTTCCTTAAAAAACTTGATCGGAGCACATTCGTCACACAAATTAGTTTTTTGGGGTAGACATTTGAGGTCCCATTTGTCTCATGTGGGACAAATGCGACCGCATCGGTCTTACTTAAGACAAATGTGCTCCGAGACAAATGTGCTCCTACACTGCTCTGCTACTGCCAATTTCACGTTTTATAATTTTGCTACTGCTACTAGTTTTATGGGGTAGACATTTGAGGTCCCATTTGTCTCATGTGGGACAAATGCGACCGCATCGGTCTTACTTAAGACAAATGTGCTCCGAGACAAATGTGCTCCTACACTGCTCTGCTACTGCCAATTTCACGTTTTATAATTTTGCTACTGCTACTGTTCACTGCTACTGCTAACTTCCTACCGGTAACTTATACATGCATTTAATCCAGGTTATCGTTACTCTACAAATATCAGACAGGGCAGGGTGATTTTACATGAATGTGTATATGAAATAACATTTGAAACATCCTTTTATAATATGTCACAAAAGGGATAATTTAGTTTATACAAATTTATTTTAGTTCGATTGTGTTGGAAGCTATAAGCTTAAAGTAACACTCTCGAATCCGTTCCTTGAACCAACCAGTACTAAGCACTGAATGTAAAGTTTCTAGCTCAAGGAAACAACGGCTTGCCCCTGACAGGGTTAGAACCAAAGCGGTCAGCAAATTCTAAGGCTAGTCCGGCGCGTTAACCCCTCGGCCACGCCGCCACACAAAAGGAATGAATTGCAAATGCCTCTGAAAATATATTTATTTGAAAATTTATGTTGGCTTAGGATTTTATGATTAATTTCATCTTAGAAGAGAACAATAAAGTGTTTTGGTCACTTAGGCAATTTAATATCATATCTTACAAGTCTTACTATTTCCTTTTTTGTAAGGGCTGCTTCAATTCGTATATTGTCGTTATTTATTAAACTATGTAAAAACACGAAGAGTTAATCGGTTAGTTCCCTATGAACACTTACATCAGCTATGTAAATTCCAGCAAAAAGACAGGATGTTGAATACGAGTAGTCTTTCATACTTTGAAATCGTAGATCCACCTGAAAAATGAAATATATTGCTAATTCTAACACGACCAGCATTGTTCCCTATTGAATATAGAAGAACCAAAAGAATTAATATCTGTCTAGGCGGTGTTTAGCATGCGTAGGAATTGACCATGAAAGCCGTAGGCCTGAGTGGTTAATTTTTCCGCACAAAAACGACAAACCGGTGTTAAATAGCCGATAAACACCACTCAGACAGATATTATTTCGATTCTAACAATAGAAATTAAGAAAGATCACTAATGCTATATTTTCAAGCGGATATTACTTCCGGTGCTGGTTTTCGTATAACGCTGTTCGTTTTCACATCCTTCTGTTGTTAAAATATAGAAATAATAAAAAAAAAACAATAATTTAAAAAAAAATAATCAAGTTTTCAACAATAAAAACTTACGTCTCAGACTGGATTGCATTGTGTTTGCATCAGTGTTTGGTTAATCATGCTTGTATGTTTGAAATGATGTCATTCTAACGCGTTTATGAATGAGTTGTGCACTGAGGATGACGTCATTACGCTGCTGACGGGTGTCAAAATATTTGTTTTAACTGACATCAGGGGGTCGAACGTATAGCGGTGCGATACTCATTTAAGCGAGGTGAATTCATGCGATACGCCCTAATGGCGGACGGGAGCGAAAACGAAAGTGGGTATGAGCATGTTTTTTTCCAAATATTTGTTGTCTGTTGTAATTTTCCGAAGAATAGCATTGTGCATGCTGATCAAAACTTATAATTGTGCATGATTGTCAAAATAAAATACTAAATTTTGTAGAATTGAGGAAGTTATTGAGGTATTTGTTGTTGCAAATTTAACTGTCAACCTGATATGCACATGCAAACGAATAATGTATCAGTCGTTTTAAAACGAGATATTCGATTAGTTTAATTTAAGTCCCAACATGTTTACTTTTGGAAACAAAACGATATACAAGAGTAGTTTTCCATATCTATCCGAAAATATATAAAATATTTCCATTTTTCTTACTGTACGCCTAATATTTGGTCCGATAAAACAAATGTACGCACAAATGTTGGTATGTTTTTCTGTAGCAACTTCCTCATTACAGTACATTCTTATTCAATTTTGATGAAATATCAAGTTTTGAGTTTTATGTTAATCATATGAAAACCACAGTGTCCATTAAAACAACAGTGTCAATTAATGTACTTTGAGATAGTTAATTTAAATGTTCTTTTCTCACAGAGGTTAATTATTAAAATGAGATTAGTTATGTACATAAATTTGAAATACTCAAGTTATCAATAGTCACGATAATATTCGTTTTGTTTCTTCCATTTATTATTTTTTTCCAATGGAACTTAAAATTTATAAAAAAAACTGGTTTGATTTCCTCTATGGATTGGATGTTATATATTATATACAGAGCACATAATTGTATTTCAGTTATTCTGATGTTTGTCATTAGCTCTGTCGCTTTGAATATATAACTTTACTACTCCATAACCAGTGTATACCAAACAGTTTTGTGTATTTGCTTATGAAAGCATTCATACTTTTAGTGATTTAACTTATCTGCCAGTAGTTTTACTTTTAAAACTAGGCTTTCTCTTCATCATTTAATGTATAATATTACCCCTCACTTTTTTGTAAATATTCATTTCAACTAGGAGTTGAAGCAAGTGTACCAAGAGAATTGTACCGTTACAGGCCAACAGCACTTTTTAACAGTATAAAATCTGGGCAATTGTTTTTTATGTAAATAAAAGTATTATAGATTACAGTATCTGTTCGGCAAATAAAATAAATAACACACAAGCGTTTGTGAGTAACAGTAAAAATATCAACCCACCTAAAAATACTGTTTCCCTCGGCTAACACCTTGGCTAACAGTATTTTCCTTCGGATGATATTTTAACTGTAACCCACAAACCCATGTGTTATTTATATACTACTCCATAAGCATTGTGACTCAATCTGATATTATATACTCAAAAGCTTTTTGTTTATTTGCGCATGTGTCAGCATTTGTACTTCTGGTACTTATCTGGCAGTAGTTTTGTTTGTTAATCAATTTGTAATGTTTTAATTGCTCTGAAACATTTACAACGGTGTATTTGCAAATGTGAGCATCAGCTGTTCCTAAGACAGACACTGAGCTGTTTTGTGTCCAATGACTGACTGAATTTTGAAATTGTAGTTTTGTGTTTTTTCCTGACAGGCCACAATTATGTGCACTACAAAAATAGAATTTTACCACCTAAAGATTTTTACCACCTGGTTCTCAGTCTCTATCTCTAGAACAGCCGTGAAATGTACTTTCACTGTATTTAATAGGTTGTTTGAAATGTTCATTTCTATTTATAATATGAAAAAATATCAGTTTGACAGCAGCATGTACAAAAGATCTTAGAACCTCATGAAGTAAAACAGCCCTTATATAACATACATGTATTAACTGCTATTTTTCTGAAAGGTTCTGCTTTGAAAGTGAGTTAATTTATACAAGATTTCTTAATAGGTTTTTTAAATTCATTCTTACATGTTTTGGTCAAATTCCTACTTTTTATCTAAGATCTTAGAGTAAAGGTTACTTTTTTTCAACTCCTAATTATCACAGGATAATTATTATTAATCATTCAAATTAAGTCCAAACACTTATATGGATGGTTATACAAACTTTTATTTCAAGTTAATCTTTAAGGAAAGAAGAAGATTTAAGAATTCCAGAAACGGGCAAATACTTAGTATAATCATAGGAAAACATGTACAGCAGATGTGATAATGAAAAATATCGAACCTTTATCACACCCAAATCAAGCGTACACTTAAATATTTTGACCAGTAAGCGTCTATGTATATCGGAGCACAAAAGTACTTGCTATGCAACTCAATTATGATTACTCTTATACAATCAAAAAAGAAAAAAGAAATTAACTATATTAATATTAGCTTGCATCAAGCGATTTTATTCACCGACCCAAAATTAGTTGCCGTCAGTTTACCTTCAATAACTTTTATAGTTATGAATTTAGGCCTCTGTAATTTTGATGAAATGTGTGTTGGTCCTTTTTCACATCCTCAATACAAAATGTGCAATTGTTATCGAAGATTTATGAAATACTTAATAAAAAATACTCATTCTGACGTGTATTTACACGGGTAAATCCGCCATAAGGGCGTATCGCATGAAATCACCTCGCTTAAAGGAGTATTGCACCGCTATACCTTCGACCCCCTGTGACATGGATCAAATCTGATGCTTTATTATGTGAGATGTAATTTTAGTATTGTATGAAAAAAAAACATCATAAGAACTGAAAAAATTAGTAACAATGTTTTTGTTATTGTTGCTTTAAAAGGCTTTGTAAACTATATAATCGAGGGAGAAAACATAAGAGCCTCATATACAGGTAGTACATAACCAGTGTTTATTAGCAGTACACCGTTTTTTTCTTCTTTGTCAATAGTGACAAAAAACTAGCCTACGACGTGTCGTAAAGCGTTGATAAAACGGCCCCTAGAAATGTTAGAATATGCAATAAAATCACTGTTGAAGTTCTATATTTAGATATGCGACGTTATCAATTTGCATGTGATTTAACCACTAAATATGGGACGCACTGAAAATAAGTACGGAAACAATTCAAGCGCAATTCAGCTTAATATTAGTTACGGCATATATGTTAAAATATTAGTTATAAAGATTGTTGACAGGTTATATGGCCCTATATAAACGGCTGTTTGTAAATATAACCCGAGCCGTTAGGCGAGGGTTATATTGCAAACAGCGGTTTATATACGGCCATATATCCTGTCAACAATCTTTATAACGAATTTACAATACAGCACGCATCATTTTTTAGAGAAAAAAGTAAGATTTCTTAACGAATCGACAGTAGCCGTGTATAATATTAGTTATAAAGATCGTTGACAGGTTATATGGCCCTATATAAACGGCTATTTGTAAATATAACCCGAGCCGTAAGGCGATGGTTATATTGCAAACAGCCGTTTATATACGGCTATATAACCTGTAAAAAAACTTTATAACGAATTTATAATACAGCAAGCATCTTTTTGTGGAGAAAAAGTAAGATATCGACAGCAGCCGTGTAAATAAATCTATATAAACGTCACGATTATCCAATGAAAAGCGACGTTACAAACGTGCAGTATTATAAAAAACTATATAAACGTCACTATTATCCAATGAAAAGCGACGTTACAAACGTGCAGTATTATAATCGAAATAATATATTCAAATATGTGACTTTATCGTCTGATAACATAATTGTCGTTTGGATGCGTGTCATTATATAATTCGGGCATCGCCCTCGTAGTATAATTCCTCGAATCCGAACTCCAAACAGTGACGTTAATGAACTATAAAAACACTGTTTTGAATATATTATTTCTTTAAATGATAAGGCATCATGTAAATCCCCGTTAAGGTATGCCTGCTATACGTTCATTGAAATGGATAAATTTGCTAAATTATGTGAGTTCCATTTCCGATTGTAATGAAAAAAAACAAATAAGACTGAAAAATTAGTCAATGTTTGTTATGTTGATTTAAAAGGTTTGTAACCGTTATAAAGAAACAGAAGAGCTTGTAGTAATAACCATTTTATAGCAGCACGTTTTTTCTCTGCATGTGAAAAAACTAGTCTAACGTGTCGTAGAGCGTTGAAATAAAGGTCATTTAGATATATAAACCGTAAGCTTATTTAGAAATGACTTATCAATTTGATTATTTAACTTTCCCTTAAAATAATACGAACATTTTCCTCAATTCATTAATATTATTAATTTTGATTTGAAAATTTTACGGCTTAATCCCAAAAGCGTTTAAAATACAAGCGTAGGAGTTGATCTGAACAAAAAATAGACAGGAGCAACAAGATGTTGCCTTAAAATGAATAATTGTCATTGGCAGAGACTGAAGTTATTCTGACTACCTATGAATGAATTTTCTTAATTAAAACATTTTGATAACAAATTATTACATGTTTTGGGGTGGCTTATACAAATGTATCAGTAATATATTAAACTGATATTTCACTGTTTGAAATGTTGATACTTTCTCTGTTTTCGATTTATGTCTGTTGTTTCAGTGAAATACCAGCGTGCATAGTTCTGGTTAATATGAGACATAAGGTTAAAATGTCTCTTTAAACGTTTCTTTGCATAATTATATAATTAAAAGAAAATGTGTTTCTTTTAGTGTTAGATCAAAATATATCTCACTTCGTGAACACAAAAAGTGTTTACTGTGCCACTCATGAAATATTCCTTTTTGTACTTACTCAGTGAAATATACATCTTACACAACAAACAAACAAATTTTCTTTTTAATTTATGCTAAAAAACAAGTTAAAACGAAATTTCCATAATATTAACGTAAAATATTAAAGTCTGTTTTCCCCATTGAGAGCCCCATTTAGTCGGAATTTCTCATTAAAAACAAGAAGTCTTGAGCTGAAAATTAGTCCGACAATCAACGTTAAATGACAGTGATATTATTTATTTTGTTTAAAAAATATGAATGATCGCTTGTTTTAATAATAAAAACAAACAATTCTTGTAGGGGAAAAGTCCAACCATCCATCCATATTTCTGTTACTTACTGCGAATTTATATAAGACGTGGCTTTGTTAAATGTAAGCGGCAGCCATTTTTTAAAGTTGTTGCCACTCATGAAAAATATACACCTTTAAAAAAGAAAGAAAATATATACAGTTAACTTTTTGTACTTACTCAGTGAAATAATATAATACATCTTACACAACAAACAAACAAATTTTCTTTTTAATTTATGCTAAAAAACAAGTTAAAACGAAATTTCCATAATATTAACGTAAAATATTAAAGTCTGTTTTCCCCATTGAGAGCCCCATTTAGTCGGAATTTCTCATTAAAAACAAGAAGTCTTGAGCTGAAAAATAAGTCCGACAATCAACGTTAAATGACAGTGTTATTATTTATTTTGTTTAAAAATATGAATGATCGCTTGTTTTAATAATAAAAACAAACAATTCTTGTAGGGGAAAAGTCCAACCATCCATCCATATTTCTGTTACTTACTGCGAATTTATATAAGACGTGGCTTTGTTAAATGTAAGCGGCAGCCATTTTTTAAAGTTGTGTATTTTACGGGTGGAAAATAATTGTGTTTGATTTAGAGGGATATCATTTGGATTTGTTAGTTATACACCTTTTAAAAAGAAAGAAAGCATATACATTTATGAGGATTGAAGGGAAAAATCTTTAAAAAGTAGTTTCGTCATTGAAAAGTGTGAAATTATATTTTGATAATTTTCACTGTGAAATTATCAAATACAAGTTTCACGGATAAATCAGTAATCCACTGAAAAGCATAAAATAAGTAGAGAAAATTGAATGTGTGTAAGTTCAATACTTAATTTATTGCATTAGTTGAATAAAATTATATTATTTTATCACATAAACCCTGGTGCAGGAGTGTAATAAAGCCATTTATTACATGCTTTGCAGTAGATTACTGAATTATAACGGTTAATAATATTCTGATAATTTCACAGTAATGATTACCAAATATAATTTCACAGTAGCCGAACTATATTTGGCGTAAAAATAAAATATTTATCATTAATGAATGTTTTTTTCAGCGGAAATGATGTCAATCATAATAAAAAATGTACGTGATAATTGTAGTTCGTAAATATTTACGAACGTTGTGTTGAAAAACATCTAAAATCTAAAAATAATCATGGAATTATATTTTGCTTCAACATTGTGACGTCATTATTTGATGACGTCATGAAGATAAGAGCATGACGTTACGCGGCAAAAATCAGTAAAATGGTGTAAAAATCGTTAAAAAATCATGAAATAAACAGAAAATTTATTTGTTTTACATGTAAGATCAAATAATATTTCACTCGTGAACCCCAGCTATTATATTTTCACTCGTGGCTACGCCACTCGTGGAAAATATTGCATCTGGTGTTCACTCGGTGAAATATTTTTCGATCTTACACTGAAACAAACAAATATCCTCTATTTATTTTATGCTTTTCTGTGGATTACTGATTTATCCGTGAAAATTATATTTGATAATTTCACAATGAAAATTATCAAAATATAATTTCACTTTTTTCAATGACGAAACTACTTTTTAAGATTTTTCCCATGTGGTACCTCAATTTTATTTTTACTGACAATTCTGACAATGTAAGGCTGTTAAAAGATAAAGCAAAGCTGAAATAGATAAATAACTTAAATGTCAAAAGTAATAAAGAGAGAAAACTTACTTATATTCCTTCAAATTCCAATCACTAAATTTCGTCTCGAAATTTTTTGTTTCGTTTTTACAGTCTAAAAAATACATTCCTTCCCCCATGCAAAACTGCTCTTGATGACATTTGGGCATATTTAAGTATCCTACGAGCAATGACTGCCGTATGCTTTATGAAAATTGAAAAGCATTGACAGCCATCACTCGTAAAATAAGTAAAACAACCCAGCGTTCCTTAGCAAGCTTCCAAGTTTTCCATATCCCTAGCTCCTTTTCTGAATGTTTTCACTTCTGTCAACACTTATTTTTTGTCTGTTACAATCCTCAAATAAGTTTTCTTTCTTTTAAAAAGGTGTATGACTAACAAATCCAAATTATATCCGTCTGAATCTTACACAATTATTTTCCTACCATGAAATACACAACTTTAAAAAAATGGCTGCCGCTTACATTTTACAAAGCAAGGTCTAATATAAATTCGCAGGAAGTAACAGACATATGGATGGATGGTTGGACTTTTTCTCCTATGTACAACAATTGTTTGTTTTTATTATTAAAACAAGCGATCATTCATATTTTTTAATAAAATGAATTAATATCACCGTCATTTAACCTTGATTGGCGGACTTATTTTTCAGCTCAAGACTTCTTGTTTTAAATGAGACATTCCGTCTAAATGGGGCTCTCAATGGTGGAAACAGATTTTGATATTAGCGTTAAAATCATGGAAATTTCGTTTTAACTTGTTTTAAAGCATAAAATAAAAAGAAAATTTGTCTGTTTGTTGTGTAAGATGTAATTTTATTTCATCTCGTGAACTTTAAAAAAAGTATTCTCATTCATGGCTACGCCACTCGTGAGGATACTGTTTTTAAAGCCCACTCGATGAAATAAAATGTCATCTTACAGACAAACAAACACATATCCTCTATATAATAAAAACGATATTACACTAGTTTATTACATGTTTTGCAGTAGATTACTGAATTATAACGGTTAATCATATTCTGATAATTTCACAGTAATGATTACCAAATATAATTTCACAGTAGCCGAACTATATTTGGCGTAAAAATAAAATATTTATCATTAATGAATGTTTTTTTCAGCGGAAATGTAGTCAATCATAATAAAAAATGTACGTGATAACTGTAGTTTGTAAATATTTACGAACGTTGTGCTGAAAAACATCTAAAATCTAAAAATAATCATGGAATTATATTTTGCTTCAACATTGTGACGTCATTATTTGATGACGTCATGAAGATAAGAGCATGACGTTACGCGGCAAAAGTCAGTAAAATGGTGTAAAAATCGTTAAAAAATCATGAAATAAACAGAAAATTTGTTTGTTTTACATGTAAGATCAAATAATATTTCACTCGTGAACCCCAGCTATTATATTTTCACTCGTGGCTACGCCACTCGTGGAACGCCACTCGTGGAAAATATTGCATCTGGTGTTCACTCGATGAAATATTTTTCGATCTAACACTGAAACAAACAAATATACTCTATGTAATAACACTTTAACGCGACGTCATTTGCGCTATATAGAACATAGCGTTAAAGCGCGCTAATGTTAGCGTTACACTATAGGCGCGTCATTGAAAAAATACTCATTTAAACAGTTTACTGTTCTTATTTTATATATGTGATAAATATAATATTTTATTTAATTTTACCTATGAAATATGGTGCTATATCAGTCAAATATATCTTATATCTTTTAAAATTAATATGAAATATAAATATGAAAGTGAGCGGAGTCAAAACTCATATTTATTTTAAGGGACTTCTTTCGACATTTTGTTTGAAAAATCTGATAAAACAAACATTTTTTTGTTGAATTTTGTTTTGAAAACTATCTAGAATGATAGAAAATGGTGTAACTAAGAAATTAAATTTGAACACCAATATCTTTAATTCAGTCATTAACGCTGTACAGACGTTTAAAAAGTCGTTTACGTGACGTCACAATCTAGCGCTAAATCTTGCGTGCAAAACAAGACGATATTCATATTACTGCGCGCTGTATAATTGCAGTTGCGTAGCAGGCAAGGGGGTTAATAACCTTTTTTTAAAATGAAATTAAATAAAAAGGTTATATTTTTGTTTTTCGTGAAATATGGTATATATTTTCACTCAGCATTTTATCATGTTTCGTGAAAATATATTCCATATTTCACTTAAACGAAAAAAATATCCTCTTAATATTCGTGTAGATTTAATACTCTATTTATTGAACTCATTGAATAAAACAATATTATATGATTTTATTCAACTCGTTCAATAAATTTAGTTTTAAACTACACTCATTCAATATCCTCTATATGCAAGCCTCTGGCGAGCATAATATTATTTTATTCAGCGTTTTTAATAAAATAAGCAATAAACTTGAACGCATCATATATTTTATTTATCACATACCCCCAAAAAGTCTTTACATTATGTTTGTATACCGCTAACGACATCAAAATATATGCATGGTCGTGCAAAACCATTTTTACGGAGTCGTAAAATCGGCACGGGTGAATGTTCGAAGAATTGCCACAGACAATGCAATAATGATAAAAGTATATTCCAAGAGATAAATAAGACATATAGAAATCAGATATTACCTCGTTTAATATAAAAGAGGTGAATTGTAACAGTTTATTAACTGTGGCAGTGTGTCTGTCGTTTTCTCCTTCAGTCAAAGCATATGTCCTGAAAACAGAGAGAAAACAGTTCGATATCCTGCGCGTTTCTTTATTTGTTTACCAAGGTTCCAATTAAAAGGAAACTTTAATCTAATTCGGACGACAAATGGCAAATGATTAAGAATAATTGGTTAAAAATAAAATTATTCTTATACAGGAAGTATAACAAAACAACAAAGTTATTCTCTACTGAATGAAAACATTAGATATAAATGAAATAGAACTATCAATTTTTGCTTGGAAGATAAAATGCATGTAGCAAAGACAAGTCACAAAGTTCAGATAAAGCAGTGTAACAACGCACTTTGGGGTCAAATGCACTTGGGGGTTCTACCCAAAAGTGCAATAGGTACTTTGGGGTCAAGCCCCAACGTGCGTTACGCACTTTGGTGTCAAAGTTTGAAAGGACCGCACTTTGGGATCATAAAAATACAATCAAAAAGAATGAATTTTAGTTATTTTTTTCTATATAAACAAAGAAGGAAGCGTGCATTATTCTGCAACAATGCACTCACCGTTTTTATTAGCTCCCTGTGTAAATTTCAAACCGACACAATGACGGCGCCATTTTGTTCGAAAAATCTGATCAATAAAAAAAATTCTTTGCTGTGAAAACTATCTAAAATGAAAAAAAAATGGTCTTACTAAGAAAAAGAATCCAAATATATCTTAAATTCAGTCGTTATTTACATGACGTCACAATGTGTGAATGTAGCGCCAAACAGCTCTGACAAAAACAATTAAATCAAGAATGCTATTTCAATGTCGCAAACGAGTTTAATTTCACATTTATTTCACAATTAATACTTTGGAGTTGAACATTTAAGAGTGAAAAAGTTTTAAAGATTTCAAAATTTGTTATTCTCAAAATGTTTCTACTCACGCTGGAAAAGGCTTTTAAAGAACGTTTCTACTGGAAACTGAGGCGAAATCAAATTAAACCAACAAATCTAAAGTCCATCTATATAATAATTATAATGTTTTTCTTGACTTGTTAGAATTTAAATTGATATTGATTCTTCGTGTATTATATAGTATATTCTAACACGACCCGCATTTTTTCCTATTGAACATACAAGAACCAAAAGTGTGTATTATTATGCTATAAAATCACTGTTTCACTATCTATGTTTAGACATGTGACGTAATCGTTATACACATGACGTAATCACTAAAACTGTGACGCGCTGAAATTAAGTATGGAAACAAATCAGACGCAGTTTATCTAATTATCATGTACGGCAGCATTTATTTGTTGATGTCGTGTTAGAATCGAAATAATATATCCAAATCGGTGATTTTATTGCTTGATAACATCACTGTTTGTCGTTCGGATGCGCATCATCATATCACTGGGGCTACGCCCTCGTGATATAATTCCCCGCATCCGAACTCCAAACAGTAATGTTATTGAGCAATAAATCACAGTTTGGGATATATCATTTCTTAATTCTAACAATCTGTATAAAACAAACGATATTTGGATCATATATCTTTAAAAAATAAGTTTTCATGCTTTTTAACTAAAATAATGAGAAAAATAAACATGAATTCTGTAAAAAATTAAAGCTATCAAGAAATTTCTTGCATAGAATTGTTTACATTATTGATATATCAAGTAACATTTGATGGTGGATTCAAAAATGGAAATAAAATATAGACGTTGACGTGTTAGTTTTTTGTAAACAGGCAGTTTCCACGGTTACCGCATATGCCAACTGTCAAAATTACCACGTTTTCTTAAGAAATATCCGCGTTATACTAAATGTATTGTCAAATATACAACAAAGACATGTTGTAATAAAAATTTCTTTTTTCTTTTGATGTTATATTAATTAAGTAAATGATACTGAATATCTTTTTAAAACATATCTGGGGCAATATTATTTTTTTCACTCGACTAACATACCCGAACAGTAAGCAAATATTCAGAAATTTACCAAGTAAATAATGAAATTCTGAACATTTCTTAGATATCAATTTTGTTTTTTCATTCAACACTTTTAAAATATATCATTTTAAACTTTGCTCAGTTGTCTGCCAGTAATCAAGTCGCGACGCACTTTCGTCACTATACCACAAGTGGGTGGGGTAACGCGCGCAGAATTATCATCAATGCTGTCATACTAATGCTTGGAGAAATCCTTTATGTGATGTTGTCTATACAACCTCTTATTCTTTTGAACGGATCTCCTTTTGAAATTTTAGAAATATCTATTCTGTATTATTTACTCATAATTTTCTTATAGCCGAAATTTAAACACTTATCCGAATACTATTCAACTTGACCTTCATTTGAAGAGTAATTATCCGAGATTATCTTTCTTGGAAGCGCATAACGATGCGCACAGAAAACTACCGAAAACGTGTTTAATACTTCTTATTTTAAATATGTCCATTTCATCGCCCGTAGAATGTGTTGTTTGGCTTTTCCATTTTTTACGCTAGACCGTTACGTAGTCGAAAAACACTTTCATACTGTATAAACAAAAAAAATATCACTGACATTTTCCATTGGTAACATAAAAAGTGTAATATATATTCATTTAAAAGGTTGAAAAAAGAATAATAGCGGCTCTTGTTTTCACTACGACTATTTAATCGCCCGTAAAAATGTGTTTTTCGGTTGAACTAGACTACAGTAGACTGTTGCCGAAAAACACTTTCATACTATATTTATAACTAGAAATGTGTCCATAGGACAATGGTGCCCCCACCGCGCCACTGTTCTGTCAATCTTTTCACTAACTCAAGGGAAATAACTCTAAAAATACTGGATAAATCCACACGCGAAACCCCAGGTGCAAATATAAATATGCTGAGCAACCTGCCCATAAGGTTTAATAACTATGTCAAATCCTTTTTGAGTAGCTTGCGACACAGGTTGAAAATTGCAAAAATTTTCTAAGTGAAGGGCAATAACTCTGAAAATACTAAAAATATCCAGACGAAAATACCTAGGTGCACAACTACACATGCTGATCAACATTCCTGTAAAGTTTCATGACTCTAGGTGATATACTTTTTAAGTTACATGCGACACAAGTTGAAAATTGCAAAATTTTACTAAGTCAAGGGCAATAACTCTGAAAATACTAAAAATATACAGACGAAAATACCCAGGTGCACAACTACACATGCTGATCAACATTCCTGTAAAGTTTCATGACTCTTAGTCAAATAATTTTTAGTTACGTGCGACACAAGTTGAAAATTGCAAAATTTTACTAAGTCAAGGGCAATAACTCTGAAAAAACTAAAAATATCCAGACAAAAATACCCAGGTGCACATGCTGATCAATATTCCTGTAAAGTTTCATGACTCTAGGTCAAATACTTTTTAAGTTGCATGCGACACAAGTTGAAAATTGCAAAATTTTACTAAGTAAAGGGCAATAACTCTGAAAATACTAAAAATATACAGACGAAAATACCCAGGTGCACAACTACACATGCTGATCAACATTCCTGTAAAGTTTCATGACTCAAGGTCAAATAATTTTTGAGTTACATGCGACACAAGTTGAAAATTGCAAAATTTTACTAAGTCAAGGGCAATTACTCTGAAAATACTAAAAATATCCAGACGAAAATACCCAGGTGCACAACTACACATGCTGATCAGCATTCCTGTAAAGTTTCATGACTCTAGGTCAAATACTTTTTGAGTTACGTGTGACACAAAAGTGAACGGACGGACGGACGGAAGGACGGACGGACGGACAAGAGTAAATCTAAATGCCCGCCACTATCGTGGGGGGCACAACAAATAATATCAGTGACATTTCCCATTGGTAACAAAAAAAAGTGTAAGAGGATATTTTTTCGTTTGAGTGAAATATGGAATATATTTTCACGAAACATGATAAAATGACACATATTTTCACGAGCACGGACGGCGAGTGAAAATATGTGGTATTTTATCATGTTTCGTGAAAATATATACCATATTTCACGAAAATGTCTATTTAAAAAGTTTCTTTGCATTATAATAAAAAGAAAATTTGTTAAGTGTAGTGTAAAATCGAAATACATTTCACCTTGTCAACACCAAAAGTTCATACTTCACTCGTGACTCTGCTACTTGAAATATACCTTTTGGTGCTCACCTGGTGAAATAAATACCGATCTTACAATGAACTAAACAAATATCCTCTATTAACTACATCCAATGTTTAATATGGCACCAAAAGCTATCTAGTAAATGGCTGACAAAACAGGATATTTTTGTAGAAATACATTCGCTATTTAAGTACTAAAGTAGTTTGTTATATAGAGCAGCAATTTTTAGATATTTCAAGTAGTTAGATTAATAAAACACTTACCCCTTAAGCATTAAACACATATTTTTATTACTGCTACATCAGCATTTAAAAGACACTTAGAAATATTTATGCATTTAAGTATCGACTCCATTTACAATTTTTCAGTGTCGCAGCTCGAAATTAGTCAGTACTTAGTATTTATGAAGAACTCAGTTGACACCTTAAAAACTGTCAAACCCAAAGTGTGTTGATATGTAGCATATCAACGCACCTGGCGGTCAAATCTTAGATTTTGATCCCAAGTGAGCTGTGAGGTTTACCGCATTTTGGGGTTAAATCCCAAAGTGCGTTTGACCCCAAAGTGCAGTGTTACAAAGCAGCATGCCTCTAGATTCCCGATAACTTTCATGAACATTTTGAAAATGCGGGTCGCAACTATTTTGGTGCAGACAATATGTGTATCTTTATATCCATAATGCTAATTAAAAAGATGTTTGTTAATAAAGTACAATATTGTAAAAGTTTTCTGAGGCTTTGTATTTTGCTACGAGCAGCGTGTAAAATTGATATCTGGCGAGACCGGAAATTTCTATCCGTTGAAGCGTATTTACTCTTCAATATTTGCGTGTATTTTAGGGAGAGAGTTTATAGGTATTAAAATAAAGTAAAATTATTGCAAAGTCTGTCAATAATTTCATATAAGATGTAAATCATTTCTTGACTCTAAATTCCGTATATCAGG